TAACCAGAGAAAACTAAAAAAACAACAAAAAAACAACCTGGGGCGGTGCAACTGATTGAAGTGTCTATGCCATTCCCAAAGGGGAGACATTTCTCATTCATGAACTAATTGTAAATGGGCTGATTCATCAATGTCACACTCATAACTGTGCCTGATCTACTGCAGGGAACAGCTGCTTTTTCTTTCCCAATCCTTATTATTGTCATTTTTCCTCTACTTCTTTTGTATGTTTATCACACTCTTGTGACCCGCTATTTCCGGGGTGCCTTGAAAGTCGGAACAGACTTTGTGCTGTTGAAGCGAGAGAGGTGAGCAGAGTAAGTCTGATTCCCTGTAAAGACTTCTCTGTTGACATTCACCCCTTGGCGCTCATATGACCTTATGCAGTTGCGAGTGCCGTAAAACCTTTACTAAATAAAATACAAATTAAAAAAATACGAAAACTAAAAATGAAAGTGTTATGAAATCTCTCCAGTGACCAGTTGATGTGGGGAGAAAAAGTTTCTCGCGCCCTTTCTCCTCTCACATACTGTTTGTTTGTTCTTGTGTGTTTGTTATTGTGGAAGGTAAACCCCCCGCCATTAGATCTACCTTGTAAGAAAAAGTTATTTCAAAGTGAAATCCCCAAATAAGGATAGGGGAATCATTATTTAATCTGGAAGGCCGAGAAGAATTCGGATATCTGTGAGATTCGAACTGCGATCCAACTTCAGCGTTTGGCCCAAAATAACCAAATGAGCCACTTCGGTTTTGTTTTATTTCCTTTTTTTTGTATTGTTTTAACTTTTTGGGAGGGGTGGGAATGGTGAAGAGTAAACAAAGGAAACGTTGAGATGCATCCCCCACCCCCCACACCCAACCGTCCCCATCTCTCTCTCTCTCTCTCTCTCTCTCTCTCTCTCTCTCTCTCTCTCTCTCTCTCTCTCACACACACACACACACACTCACTCTCTCTCTATATGTATAATATATATGACGTCTTATTTTCCTAGGTTCACTCAAAATTATTTCAATTGCAAATAAAAAGTAATGAGGGGATGTAAAGGGAAAGACAAGAAATAACGGGGGGAGTGTGTGAGTAAGAATACACGCCTGTGTGTGTGTTACTGACAGACAGACAGACAGACAGGCAGGCAGACAGACAGACAGACAGACAGACAGACAGATGCAAAGTCGGGCAGTCAGACAGATAGGTGAACAGTCAGACAGACAGAGATAGAAACAACAAGAGACAAGAACAGACAGACAGACAGACGGGCACGCAGGTAGATAGACAGACGGACAGGCAGACGGACAGGCAGGCAGCAGGCAGACAGACAGACAGGCAAGAAAAAACTTAGAGCATCAACTGATGAAGTCTTACTCATACTCACAGCAGTCAACACCCACTACAATTACTGACAATAACATTATCAGGGAAATACACGTTTTCATGTTGAAGTCCCTTTGAAGACACGTCTATAACAATATAACGAAAATGCGGAAATGTTTCACAGAGAGACGAACAGCGCTAGCAGTAAAAATGCAAAGCGTATTGAATTATGATCCTCAACGGCGAACAAGTTTGCTGTGACTGACGTCTCCGACCGCGAATCCCAAAGTACAGCCTACTGTCGGCATTTTACACCCTACAGGAAACGTTGCAAAGAAAGGGGGGGGGGGGGGGGGGGGGGGGGGGGTT